TTTTCTTTCCCCGCCCTCCTGTGCCGCGAGTCTCCCACGCCCCCTTCCCGCCCGCGCGGGCCACGGGGCCGCGGCCGGCTTCCCCCTCCGCTCCTGGCCCCGCGTCCGCCCCGTCCGCGGAGCGAGGTCCTGCCAGCACCGCGTCTGCAGGCGGCGCCGCTGCCCCTCTCCTGGCCCTTGGCGGCCTTTGTCAGCCTGGCATCGCAGCCCCACGCTTGCTAGTGGCCCAGCACGCTTCTCCGCTGTCACTGCCCTCGGGAACGACTTTTTGTCATCTCTTCTGGCACCTTGGTTTTTAGCCTCTACTTCTGGTTGCAAGCTGAGCATCTCTTTTCCCCCCACCTCCCCCAGTATATATAATACCTTTTTTGCCCTCTACTTTTAATTGCAAGCTGAAAATCCAGCCCCTATACAATATGTTTTTTTAATTGACTTTATCTGCATTAAAGAACTTTGAAAAATGACATTTGGTTCACCTTTCTATACAAAGCAACACTGGTTTGGTCCAACTTTATTTTGTGATTTTTTTTTTTTTTTTTTATCTTTGTTTCAGGCGCCTGCAAGGCAGTCCTTGCTCGCAATGTATAGAACAAAAGTGAGCTTGAAAGATCGTCAGCAATTGTATAAACTGATTATTAGTCAGCTGCTGTATGATGGATACATAAACATTGCCAATGGCCTGATAAATGAGATAAAACCACAGTCAGTCTGTGCACCCTCTGAGCAGCTGCTGCACTTAATTAAACTAGGTAAGCTGTAAATTACAATGTCAATAAATGAGGAATTCTGAAATTCAATTTGCTTACAGTGCAGGTATACAGTGATCTCAATCTCTCATGCAAAAATCACTCTTGATGTTCTGTTGTTAGTGTCATGGATGGTGTTGATCCTGCTTTGGTTTAGGGTTTAGATTGGATGATTTTCCAGTGTCCTTCTATTCTTACATTTCTCTGGTTCTGTTGTGGATAGAAAATATTAAATGTAGGGCTTTCAAAAGCAGTTTGGGCTTTTGCCACATACAAGAATGCTTATCCAGTACCCTGAATGTTTTGAAAGCCTTCAGGATCACAGTACATGGGTCCATTGGATGTACTAGATCAAAGCAGATCATGTGGTAATAAAGGTCATAGAAATTGATATAATCAGTTCCATATGAGCAACATAAGCTATACTCAGCCCACCTCTCCTTGCAGAGAGTGGACAAACCGTGTGTCCTGCTGTGTTTTGAAGGCTCTAAATGTAAACTGCTTTAAAGAATTTGGGAGGCAATGGAATCCAAAGGTCCAAGGCCCCAAAAGAGGCAGCCCTGCCTCTAATGACATACCTGCACCTAGACTATAGCATGGCATCAAAACAGCTGAACTATTCACATCCCAAAAGCAGTTTAGCCATAGCAGCATGGAGTTCTACATTAGTTAATTTACTGCAGAATGGTTAACTGGAGAGATGCACCATTACATCAGTCCGATATCGGATTAGTATTGATATAAAGAAAACTGGCTGTATTGGAAATTGGCTCACTGTGGCCAGTAATTTGGCCGATAAGTGCTCGTGTATGCGCGTAGCCGCAGCGCAGCACTCAGGCAGCGAGGAGCAGAGCTGCTCGCAGCTGGTAAGTCTAATGTGGTGGAAGGGGCTTGGGGAGGGAGGGGGCAGATCAGTGCCCCCCCCCCCCCAATGGTGAGGGAGGGGGTGGGCAGGGCACAGGACAGCCACAGCTCCTCATGGTGGGGGGGGGCAAGCGGGGATGGCTCCTGCCACTGCTTGCACCCCAGGAGGGCATGTGCCCCCAGATCTATGCAGGGTAGGTGAGCTGCAGCTGCAGGCTCTTCTCCACGTGAGCTGGAGGAAGGTAGCATCCCATGCTCTGCCCTGACTGGGCAGCGCTTGCCCCTCTCTCACCATGGGGGGTGTTGATCTGCCCCACACCCCTTTCTTCCCCTCTACCACAACGGGTTTACCAGCTGTATCGGAAATTGGATTGGTATCAGCCAATACGCCTCCTTAATATTGGCTGCTGGTATCGGCCCAAAAAATCTCTTTTTGGTGCACCCCTTATTAACGGATTGAACTTCATCTTGTATACCTTGTGCTATATGTCACAGGAAGTATGGCTTGAGGAAGGGCAGGTAGGTCTTAAGTCACTTAAGGTCTGCTGGAATAGGGGCATTGCATACCCTAATGTTGCTTATCAGATTAGCATTCGAATCTGCTATGGTACAGCCTGTTTGACTGGACAAGACACAACGTGACAGTGTACAGCATAAACTTCATGTTTGGCAGCAGGCACTAAGTAATATCTGCATTGGAGTATGCAGCAGAACAGAAAATTTCTTACAGAGATTGTGCTCTAGTAGCAGTAGCATCTAGAAGTCTCAATAAGACAGTGACCATATTTTAAAAATAGCTTTGATCTGGAAGACTACCATTTAAATAAGCTAAGCAGAAAGGTCAGAGGTGGAAAAAACTAGGAAAGAGAGAGTAACTGATGTATCCTGATTTCAAACCAAATCAGTAGCAGAACCAGAAATAAAAATTCAAGTCTGAGTCTCAATCTACTATTTTGACCACTAGACCATACAGTTCTAGTTGCTTCCAATTAGAAGGAGTGTTAGCTGTCCTTTTCAGTGCTGAGTTGACTCTTGCCTTGCCAGTATAGATGCATCCTGCAGGAAAAGAATCTGAAAAATGTATGTCATGCATGAAGAGGATTAGCCATTCTTATCAGTGGTACTGCTTTATTGTGGGTGAATCTTGGTTCTCTTTGCTGAGCCCCAAACAACAGTTCTATAAATATCTCTTCTTCAGTCTCTTCAAACATCAACTTATATGGAAGCAATTTTTTTTGTTTGAAAAGGTGACTATAGATGTAATCTTGGCTTCTTCATTGCATTGTGAATACTAAAGATTTTTTTTTTAGCTCATGTTAGGAGGTGTGGTTTTTCTAGCATACATCCCATTATAAGTAATGGGGATGTTGCTAGAAGTGGCAGAGATGTGCTTTACATTTTATAGGTATTTTAAAACTACCCCAGTGGTCATAACAAACTCTTTTTATCTCAGATTTGCTGATGTAACTGCATCTGTATTAGGAGCTTCTGCTAACTGTCTTGAATAGGGATTACATCTTTGCATACTTTTGTCCAGCATCACTTTGTTGGCAAAAGTCTATATTTTGTCCTGGCTGTGGTAAAAACTTTTGCAAGGATACCTGATATGTTTAATTTCTCTTCTTTCAGGGATGGAGAATGATGACAGTGCAGTTCAGTATGCTATTGGGCGCTCAGATACAGTAGCACCAGGCACAGGAATTGACTTGGAATTTGATGCAGATGTACAGACTATGTCCCCTGAGGCTTCTGAATATGAGACCTGTTACGTCACATCTCATAAAGGGCCGTGTCGTGTAGCGACCTACAGCAGGGATGGTCAGTTAATAGCTACAGGATCTGCTGATGCATCAATAAAAATTCTTGATACAGAGAGAATGTTGGCAAAAAGTGCCATGCCCATTGAGGTAATGTATTATTTGAATCATAAATGATCAATGAATGTTTAAAATGCTACTTCCTTATTAAACTGTTTCATCAACCTGGGATGCCAGTACTGGGAACAGTATATTTTTGTTGAATAGAGTCTGTGAGAACTAGTTGTAGTACACATTCTTAATGTTACCCTGATCAAAATTAATGCAACTCTGTGATTTTTTTTTTTTTTTATTGGAGATGGTGCAGTACCATAATTCAGAGCGACATAATGACAAACTGACCCTTTGAATTGTATTGAATTGGCTTTTACATTTGATCTTGAACAAGTTGTTTACTCTTATATGGGTCTGGTTGCTTCTCTGAAAAAAAAATATTCGTCAAGTAAAAGAATGATTAGTGACTGCCTTTTGACAAAAAAACCCCCCACGTGCTTAACTTTTTTTTGGCAAATCAGGCAATTTATCCTCTATAAAAGAAGGTTTTTTTTATAATATACCCATAGCTTTAAATTAAATATTTGACAGTGATTTCTTTCATTGTCAGAATCATGCCGTCTTCTAGGCATCTAACTCATTTCAGTGTTCTTCATAGGTCATGATGAACGAGACAGCTCAGCAGAACATGGAGAATCATCCTGTTATTCGAACTCTTTATGATCATGTGGATGAGGTTACCTGTCTGGCTTTTCACCCAACAGAACAAATCCTAGCCTCTGGTTCAAGGGACTACACGCTCAAATTGTTTGACTATTCAAAACCTTCTGCAAAAAGAGCTTTCAAATATATCCAGGTAAGATGTTATAGCCCGAAAACATAAATCAAAAAAGGAGGTTGAAATCTTTCAGACAAACAAACCAAATTCACAATACCAGTTAATTTAATATGTGTTTGTGTGTGTAACTTCCAGACAGACTCCTGTGATAAGGTAAACTGGGTAAATAACGTGTTTTTGCCTGACCAACTTGATTGCCTTCTTTGAGATGACTGGCTCTGTGGATGTGGGGAGAGCAGTGGATGTGATGTGCCTTGACTTTAGCAAGGCTTTTGATACAGTCTCCCACTACATTCTTGCAAGCAAGCTAAGGGAGTACTGGACTGTACTGGTAGGTAGAAAAAATGGACTGTAAGGTGGATAAAAAAACTGTCTGGATTGTTGGGCTCAGAGGATAATAATAAATGGCTCATTGCGTAGTTATCAGCCAGTATCAAGTGGAGTGCCCCAGGGGTCAGTCCTGGGGTTGGTTTTATTCAATATCGTCATCAACAATCTGGAAGATGGGATGGATCACACCCTCAGCAAGTCTGTGGATGGCACCAAGCTGGGGAAAGTAGTAGATGTGCTGGAGGGTAGAGGTAGGATTTGGAGAGACATTGACAGATTGGAGGATTGGAACAAAAGAAATCTCATGAGGCTTATTAAGGACAACTGCAGTCCTTCACTTAGAACAATCCCATGTACTGGTACAGGCTGGGGACCGACTGACTAAGCAGCTGCTCTGCAGAAAAGGTCCTGGGGGATACAGTGGACAATAAGCTGTATATCAGCCAACAGCATGCCCTTGTATATTGGGCAGCATTAGCAGAAGTATTGCCAGCAGATTGAGGGAAGCGATTTCCCCTCTTATTTGACACTGGCAGGGCCACATCTGGAGTACTCTGTCCAGTTTTGCACAGCCTGCCCCGCTCCCTCTGGCCCCCCACTACAGAAAGGATGTGGGCAAATTGGAGAGAATCCAGCAGAGGACAGTGAAAATGGTGAGGGGGCTGGAGCACATGACTTCTGAGGAGAGGCTGAGGGAACTGGGCCCATTTAGTTTGGAGAAGAGAAGACTGAGAAGGGATATATTAGTAGGGCTGTGTAAGCTTTGGTCCCTGATTCAATTCAGTGGCTGAATCTCCGAATCAAATCAGAGGACCCTTTAATCTTCCCGAGTTGAATCAGAACCCTCCAAATTGATTCGAACAGATTCAGCAATTCAGACATAGACACAGCTTTAAATGCTTTTTCTACATACCTCTAGGTAACAGGCAGCTCGTGAACACTGCGATGCTGAAGCACATAGAGTGTCCCACAGGAGTGTGGGGGGCTCCCCAGTGCACTCGGCATCAGACCTGGAAGTGGACCAGAACCACTTCTGGTCCACTTCCGGGTCTGCCAGGGAGCATGCAGGGGGGGCTCCGCCGCACTCCCCCCAGCTCCGTGACAGGTGCCTCCCGAGTCTAGGGTGGTACTTCTGGTCCACTTCTGGGCTCGCCATCAAGCATGTGGAGGGCCCCCCCCACACACACACACACCCCCCTGTGGGATGCTCCATCTACCCCAGCATCGCAGAGTTTATAAGCTGCGCTGGTACTTTGAGGTATGTAGAAAAAACATATAAAGCTGTCTGTCTGAATCACTGATTCTGCGAATCAGCATCAGATCTTCCAATTTGGCCGAATCAAATCGGGGACAGTGATCCGAATCAATGAATCGAATCGCTGTCTCCAGCTCGGGCCAAATCCAAATCAAATAGGGTCTGCTTCACACACCCCTATTTAATAGCAGCCTTCATCTACCTAAGGAAGATGGAGCCGGACTATTCTCAGTCATGGCAGGTGACAGAACATGGAGCAATAGTCTCAAGTTGCAGCAAGAGAAGTTTAGGTTAGATGTTAAGAAGAACTTTTGCACAAGACCTGGCTTGGGATGATAATAGTTGGGATTGGTCCTGCTTTGAGTAACACTACACAAGATCCCTTCCAACCCTAACTTCTTTACGATTATGGTCTGAAAGTCTAATGCTTTCCTGCCTGCTTTTTAAAAAATAGTCAGTTTTCAGAATCTGTAATTGTTAGTTCCTGAGTTTCTAGCACACATTTTCTGGAACAATTAAAGTTTTATTGTTTGTTTGGCTGAGAGTAGAGATTCCCTGGCTTCCCCTTCAAATAAGCTTTGAAATCTTCCACACACTGCCCATGCAAATGAGATTTGAAAATTGATGTAGGGCTGCAAGTAAAGTTCTGGTATTACTGGCTGCTTGCAGATGTTAAGAAAACCAAAAAACTTGATTTACCAGAAGAAGCAGCATGTTACTTTGACCTGGCTCTGTATAGATCAGATGCTTCAGCAAGGTTTTTTGGCACTTGTATCTAAAGCTGATTCAATCAGCTATTAGATAAAAGCACCAAAAAAGCTCCGCTGAAGTGCCCAAACTATACAGATGTTGGGCAAGCTGGCCCAGCTAACGTGAAGCCCCTTCTGGGCCTGTGCTGGGCTTCTCATGGGAGCACACTGAGTTTAAAGCACCACTTTTTTTATTTATTTATTTTAACATCTGCAAGCAGCCTAAATAGGGAGGGGGGTGGGGGAAGAGATTGGTCTTCATTTTTTCTGGCCTAATTATTGAACGCTGACAAATCTGAATTATGTTTTGCTATTAAAAATATGTGTTGAATTCTAAATTGACTATCTAACAGCACTTCTTTTCCCTGGAAGTTTTAGTATTTATATTAATTACGTATTTCTGATCAAACAGGAAGCAGAAATGTTACGCTCAATCTCTTTTCATCCTTCTGGAGACTTCATACTTGTTGGTACCCAGCACCCTACGTTACGGCTCTATGATATCAATACATTTCAGTGTTTTGTGTCATGTAATCCTCAAGATCAGCATACTGATGCTATATGCTCAGTTAACTACAATGCAAGTGCTAATATGTATGTGACAGGCAGCAAGGATGGTTGCATCAAATTATGGGATGGCGTTTCAAATCGATGTATCACTACTTTTGAGAAAGCACATGATGGAGCTGAAGTATGTTCTGCAATTTTTTCCAAAAATTCAAAGTACATCCTGTCAAGTGGAAAAGACTCTGTAGCTAAACTATGGGAAATATCGACAGGTCGAACGCTGGTCAAATATACAGGTATGTGACCTATCTAGCAAAAAATTGTTTCCTTGGCCATCAACTCATGATGACAAGTAATTCTTGTTGAGGTACAAAACTTGTTAATATGTAGTCAGAATGCTGGTAGGCTTACTTTCCTTAAAATCTTGGGATACCCACATTTTATTTCATAGACATTTTAGACATTAGGGCTGGAAGGGACCTTGGAAGATCTTCGAGTCCAGCCCCTTGAAACAGTAATTGCTAAAGTTAGTGAGAAACATTCTGTGAAGTTGAAATACTGATGTTCCCTGAAGTGTTTGCTGTTTTTCTATCACTAGTAACGTAAGGCACAACACTAGAAAGAAATCGATTACTTCTCTTTTAGAATCCTGGTCAACATCCTTTACCTGGTGAAATTAGAGACCTTCCTATCAGACCTGTTTTATGGTACAAATGTCTTTTTACTCTGCTTTCCATAGCAAGAAAAGCAGCTTCAAATATCATTCTCTAGTTGGCTAGAACTTTGAAACATGCACAAGTAGATTTTGCTGCAGCTGTGTAATATTAAGGAGAAATATTAAGGCAATCCAGTCTGTTAACAAAGTGACACATTCAGTCTACAAAAAAAACACCCCATCATGTAAATTAAGTGAATGTTTGTGTTGCAGTCTTATTCAAGGTAGAAATGTAGTGCTGTTCTTCAACCAGCAGGGTGCGGCAAAAACCAAAGTAAAGAGCTACAAATGTTCAGAAAATGTTGCTGCTATTGTTGATTTAAAGTAGTAATGATTAGAAACTTTCTACAAGAAAGCTAAACTTGTTTTGTCATTTGTGAGTAATGGCATATCTAGGGTGTTGTGAGGTTTCTTTGTTGTTTTTCCTCTTTCAGAATCTATTTATCAATGATGCATTCTTAAAGGGTTTTTCTACTAGTACTTCAGAGTACTAAATAAAAGTGCATTTGTTGTGAGCAATCTGCTTATGAACATTCTGGCTTGGCTGAGTGACACAATTAGTGACTAGTTTTTAAGCCCTTCCCTCTTATACAGACCCTTCCACAAAGTACATAAAGGAGTTTTCTTTTGTAGGATTACATTCCTGAAACTTTTTTCCAAGATATTTTCCAAAGAAGCAACTGTTTGGAATGTAGTGGTAATGGTTAGTACTGCTGTTAATAGCTAGGGTGGCTAGTATTCAAGATCATTCACATCAAGCAGGAAGTTTGGTACCCTGGTAATAGGCCTCTGTGCCTCTTGAGTAGAGACTGCCAGCTGTGTCTAATAATATAAATGGCTTCACTTTGATTTCCAAATTCATATCTCTTTGTAAGTGAGAGGATTGGAATGATGATCTCCAGAAACATAATTATGTAGCTTCTGAGAAGAAATGTACAAAATGATATTGAGGATTACCTCCACTTCAGATTTGTCTGTAGTCTGCTGATCTCTGTTCAGTGCTAGTTTCAGTGATCCAATTCTTTACTTGGACTTCACTATTGTGTTTGAGCATCAAAGTTCATTGGCTTTGGTTATACAGGCAAGCAGCTCCCCTTCCTTCTTTGTGTTGATTTTTTTTTTTTTTTTTTATATTTAAGAGTCTACACAACTTTAAAGTTTTTTTGCCTTAGTAAAAGAATCATTTTTAAGACTGTGAGATGTATTGTTTCCCTTACTGAAAAAATGGTAAATAGGCAGTAGAACAGAAACCTGATGGTGGGTGGAGAACTTCAATAGCCCCGTTTTTCAAGTCATCCTCAAAATTAATGCTCCTTGTAGGTGAATCTTAGTCATTAATATTTGAAGAGATGTACTTTCTGAACCTCTGAAAACCTTCCCTCAAAGTGAAACTATTTACGTTGACGTTTCAGTTAAACCTTTCAATGAACACTTTCACTGCTTTTACCAGGAGCTGGTTTGAGTGGACGACAGGTGCATAGAACGCAAGCAGTTTTCAACCACACGGAAGACTATGTTTTACTTCCTGATGAAAGGACCATAAGTCTCTGCTGCTGGGACTCAAGAACTGCTGAACGAAGGAACCTTCTTTCATTGGGTCATAACAGCATTGTTCGCTGTATTGTTCATTCTCCTACCAATCCTGGTTTCATGACATGCAGTGATGACTACAGAGCTCGATTTTGGTATCGAAGATCAACCACAGATTAAAGACAATGTTTCATAAAACGGTTCTCATCCAGATTCGTTATACCATCTTGTACTGATTGTACTGCCAAAAAATTGGAGCTGGTTCTGTGCTTCACGTCTCACATGTGATGGAAAAAGATGAAAATGCTCAGGCTTAGTTTTCCCGTGCCTGCTGTTTTTTGTGGGATTTTTACAGAAGTGATGCCACACTGATTTTAAGTCATCTTTACCATTTTTTCTCAATAAAATTAATTCTCCAAGGACACTTTTAAAAAATTTTTTATGTCTAAATTTTGGGGGGTTGGGGGAACAGGCGTGAGCGAATCCTGTTCAGTCTGGGTAGAATGAGCCAGTTTTGCTCTGGATTGGGCTTGTGCAATCCTGCAGAAGTCCATCGTTTAGAATGGATTGCACTAGAATTCAGCAGAATTTGGCCAAATATTTTAATGAGTTCTGAAACCATCTTTCAGTTCTGATTCATGCTTTGGACAGGCAGAGGTCTGTTTTATATCCTTTTTATTATGATTTTTTTTTTTAAAAGGTCGAATGACCTTCCAGCTCTGAGCCAGAATCCTGTGCCATAAGAACTTGACTTTCATTTTTAAATCATTTTAGTTGAATTCAACAAAATGTACTTTTTTTTTTTAGTTCTGATATTAAAGCTCAGACTTGAAATCTTTGTCTTTCATCTGAATTTCTTAATGAGACCTTTAGACCACTGAAAAGTGTTTTATAGCCCTTTTACCCATAAACATTTTTATGTAAGTATGCCCTGGGAAAGCAGTGTGACTGCCAAAGCAAATGAAGGTGAGAAAAACAATACTTATTTGCAGACATGCAGAATACCAACTTGACAAAGTAATCATCAGGACTGGTGGGGCAGTATTACTGTGTGTATGTGTATATGCATATACATGAATGTATATAAAATGTAGAGTCACTCAAAAAGCATTTCTTGTAAATATAAATTTCTAAATCCAGCAGCGAATAAGACAGTATGCCTGTATCCTAATTTGCAACATGTGCAAAAGATACTTGGTGTCATACAAGCCATAATTTAGATTAGGCAGACTGAAGGAAGTCCTAGTATCATTGCATCATCTACAGCTGTGGCTAAGCGTCCCTCTACAGTGAAATTCAAGGCCTGGTTTACAGTGGTTGTGGAATGGAGAGAATACTTAGGGATATGTGACACCATAAGAGTCTCCAGGCCAAGGAGACATGCTGAGAGCTGCTGTAAGAGATCTAGATAGCTGCTGAGGAAAGCAAGTTTGGAGTGAGAACTAGTAAGACAAATTAGCTGGTAAGTGCCTATCTTGAGGCTAGCTTCTTGACAGCCCCTCAAATGGAATCTCTGGACTTAATTAGGGAGAAAAACCCACTTCCATTTGCAAAAAGAAGTAAACATTGGAGTGCAGGAGGTGGAAAATACTGTTTTTAAAGTGCTAATGGCATCTTCTAGGAAATCAGAAGGATATTAAGATCTTGTGTACATTGAATCAGCAGCATTCTACAGCTAATCATGCCCCACATACCCACTCATGTTGGTACTCTCCCAATCTTAGAAATACACTGTTAAGACCCCTGAGGAGCATACTCCTGCAGCTATTTTCAAGAATTTGGTCTTTGAGCTTGGGAGAGGCTGCTGGTGAGCCCTGGATCAGCTTCACCTACTGTACTGGGGAGCAAGTGGGCAGGGCATGTTCAGGGGTGCACTCACATGTGGAAAACATGTCCAAGTCACCTTCGGAATGAGGCTTTATGGTCTTATTCCAAGGATCCATAATTCATATGTTGATAGTCAACACCACAGCTATGGGTTATGTCAACAGGCAAGAGGGATGGAGGTTGGATCTTGAAGAGGCTATATAGCATTTTGGAATTGGTGTTTCAAAACCAAATTGGGCTGTTGGCTCTGCAAGTTTTTGGCCTTCAAAACAACATGGTAGATCAACTCAGCAGGTAGTACTTCAACACTCAGGAGTAATCTACAGCAACACAGAGTTATACAGAACTTTTTTCTCACCAGTGGGGACTGCCAGAAATACACCTGTTTTGCCACAGACCAAAGCAACAGTATCAGACATTTTGCTTCAGTGGTGGTGTAAGCTCCAGGTTCCTTTTTTCCCACCCTTCGATGTCAGATTGCCCATTCATTAAGGAACATGATACTGAGGCCCTGAAAACAAGATAGGAGGCAGAAGAGATCGATAACTGCTTCTTATGGCTCTGTAATGTGACAGCATTTTGACAGACCTCTTACACATCTCACTAACTCTGCTCAGCTAATACAGAACAGCAGGTTCCTTGCTATAATTTTGTTACCTTTAATTTTGCTGGCTGGATGAGCCACTTGTATGCATTTGCTGGCTGGATGTATACACTTGTATGCATTTGCTAGGAGCTTTAGGCATGCAAGAATCCAAGTCTGCTACCCAGTGGAGCTTAAAGTCTGATGCAGCAAAGAATTTTAGAACAAATGCTTTGTATCAAATCATGATAAAATTTGGCATGTTTGGCTGACATCCCTGAAGTGCCATGCAAGCTCTTGTGGTACTAGATAAATTCTAGCAATTTTAGCTCTGTTACTCGTATATCAAAGCTGCTAAAATAGGAACTACAGGAACAAAGCAGGAAGGTGGTTTACTGAGTGTGGTTATTTGCCCCCCTTCGATGACAAACAGATTAAGGAAACAGCTAGTCCTGCAGGCTTTTCTCAGTCTTCAAAGCTTATTACGGTTTGGCGTTTTTCCTCCCTTTTTTGCCCCCTTTTTAATCTTATCTGTTGTCGCAGGAACTGTCGTTCATTGGAACGTTTTGTATGACTTTCTAAATACTTCTGAGAGAACAGTTGTCAGACACTTGAGAAATAGTTCCTGGTGCACTGTGACTCTGCAAAACTTGAAGTGTCTATGACACTGTGGTAGTTAATAAATACTCCAAGTGATGGTATTAGCTGCTGACAACTATGGATAAAAATACCCGAATCAACACAGCTGCAAAGGTAGGTCCATTTGTTTGAGGACACAAAACAATGTTAGGGGCTGGAGTACGTGTGATTATTTTCTAAGCTCAGAATTACCCTTGTTATAAGGGTGTGTTTTGTATTTTTACCTATAAGTTGTAGAAGAAGATTTCTTGTTTAGGATACTTGGATGTCTGAAGGGGGTCTGGATTTCTGCTGTTTGAAGAGATGGTTGTCCCTGGGTTAAAGGGGTCTGAAGAAATTTCTACTTGGACAGACTTGTAAATAGAAGGAAACCTGAAGATTCTTTTAAGTAGTAATGACACTGACAAAAAGGAATTAACTCATACTTTTACCTTCAAGGTATCTATCTCTTTACCAGTTCTTAATCATACTTGATACATTATTAATGTCCCAATGAACTTTAATGGCTGTTAACTAAATTGTCAGCATAATGTGTAAGGTAGGCAAGTCACTTCTCTTTTTTATAGGCAAGCTTCAACAAGTAAAAAGGTTAAAATGCTATATATTAATGAATGAAATGTATAAGTATTTTAGGGTAGAAAACCTGCTTGTGTGTATTGCATACCTTACTACATACAGTTGTAGATCAAGCAGCTAGGGTATTTATCTTTACTCAGAGTCATTGATCTTGATGGTTAATATCAATAAATATGGAGTCTATTTTGCCAAGTGGGCTTTGGCATTCCCTTTTTCCTCCTTAAACCTCCGAAGGGAAGATATGCAGACCATTTGTTTTCCTGCCAAAGATTGTAGAAATAAGAGGATAATGTGTTCCTATTAAATTCATCAGGAGATAATAGGACATATTTTTCTTGTATTAATGAATGTTTAACCCAGTTTTTGCTTTAAGACATTTGTGAATTTAAAAAAATATTTTCATAATTGTCCAAACGGACAACTTGTGCCATGTCACCAACAGGCAATTGTATTGATCAATAACAAACTAACATGTAAATTCTTCCCCCACTACCAAATTTCCAAGTCCCACAGCTGAATCAGCCCGCACTGCACCCACCCCATACACTGGACTGGGCCCACTAATGGGATCCGGCCCATGAATGGACCTGGCACCACCCATCCAGCCTGTGGGGCAAAAACGTTGGGGCTGACTGGTTTAGAGGGATACAGCTACAGTTAAATTGACTGAAACATTTAGGCACCTGGCTCCCAAAGCAGAAGCTAGAGCTCTGAGTTTGGTGTCCAGTCCTCTCCATGCATTGGGTAGGGACTTAGATGTCCCTGGTGAGACTCCCAAAATGCAGCACACTGAGCACAGAGGTCCATAAGCTAGACAATAAGAAAAATGGAGGCTTAGGTACTCAGTTATCTGGGACTCAAATATTTAGTTCTATGCTAGTGAAATGCCTGGATCAGGATTCACAGTTCAAAACCTTTTGGCTCTAAGTCCTCCCTTTCCACAGGAGGCACTTCTTTGTTTTACTACGCTACAGAGGAAAGGGCTGGTGTTGCCCTTCCTATATGAAAATAGCTCAGTGTTGTGGCATTGGTCAAGTCGCTCAGAGCACTCGGGATGTGGGAGACCTCCCTGACCAGAATGCCCTAACCACATGCCTATAAGCTGTTCAGAGGTCAGCTAACTTTCCCACCATCTTGTTAAAGCTAGGTCCTTGTGCAGAAACCCAGGAACTTGAGATATGTTGGGCCCGAGACAGGGAGAATGATGCTGAAAACCCAGTGACTGGGACACACTCTTGAGTGAGGGGAGACCAGAGTCCAACTCCTCATCCAAAGACTGCTTACAGGTCTGGAGTTGTGTTTCTTCTCCATAGCTGTATGACTCTTAAAATATTTTGCCAAGCGGCTCTGCTTCAGCTGGCGAAGTCCAACAACCCTCCTCTCTCCCTTTCTATATTATGTGTGTTCAGAGCACCACGACACATTGGCTTCTTTGTAGGATGCAGGTGGGACCCTGATCAGCAGGGATCCTAGTTTTCTCTGGTTTATTTAACCAAAAATTGGGGATTTTTTTTAAGAAAACCCAAATCCATATTTTTCCATGATTAAAAAGAAACACCACTATATATATCTATATCCATATATTAGTGGTGTTTCATTTAAATCATGGAAAATATGGATTTGGCGTAACTTTTTTTTTAAAACTGAAAATTGGGGATTATTTTTAAATTGGAGAAAACCAGGATCCCTGCTGATCTGCTTAAGTACTTAGCCCCACCAACATGACAGCAGTTCTGTCATGCACAGAAGCAGGACTTCAGGTGACCAGAGGACTTTCTTAGTGGAAATTTAGGGTCTCTCTCCATAAGTTCAGCATTAACCTTACTTGGCCCCTCACAACATGGTGGTCTGCCTCCTAAATTGGAAGCAATGCCCACCTTGTGCTGCAGACTGGCTATAACATGGAGCTTGATCAGTACTGTAGCAAGGAGGGGGTGAGTGGGGCAACTGCCCGGGGCGCTGAAACAAAGGGGAACCAACAGGTGCTGTCCAGCTGGAGCGGAGCGCAGGATGGAGCCACAAGAAGCTCATTTTGGGGGAGGAGAGGAATGGGAAGGGCAGTTCCCGCCACTGCATGCACTCCCAGGCAAGCATGGGGGCGGGGGGGAAGGTGCCCCCTCAGATCTGTGCATGGGGCAAGGGCAGGCTGCCACTGCAGGCTTGCCCCAGGTGCCAAACTTCCTTGCTATGGTACTGAGCCTGATTAGCTGATA